ATTATTATTATTATTATTATTATTATTATTATTATTATTATTATTATTATTATTAAATTTTAATTAATCTTGATTTAAATTCTACATTTGCTTCGAATGTTGATGCATTAACCAAAGTATTATATTACCAACAACGTCGAAAAAATGCTGTGATAGAACTTGATCCAGAAAAATTCGAGTATATGATAGGAAATGCTAATCCTCAACTTGAGAGTTTTTTTAGCAGTATGATAAATGCGATTATCCCCAAAGAACGTTCGGCTTATAGCATTAATGAAGCCAAAAAGTCAATCGTTAGTCTATATTATATGATCGCAGGTTTGCGTAACAAGTTTGTTAATAGACATAAGTTAGAGGTGGAATTGTACTTAATGGCATCAGGTGCTATGTGGGAAGCTGTTGATACAATAGCGAGTCTCAGTTACTCTGCATGTGCTAAAACAGTAGAGGAATTTTGCAAAAAAATTCAAACTGAATATGCAATAAAAATTGAACAGCATTTTATAAATCATGTATATTAAATAAATCAAGTAATTTAAATAAACATGTTCGAATATTAATGATCGAATATTATTTTTTTATTTTTGTTAGAAAAATTTGTTTCATATCTATAACATAGATGATTATCATTCGATTCACGAAAATCGAAGACCCGATACAGTGTTAATCTCAAGTGTGAAATATTTTGCAACTTTTGTTGCAAAACTGATTATGGAATGTTTATCTGTGCCGCTTAATTTTAATAACGTATTAATTCATAATCTAGCGAATGTTGAAGTTTATAGAATTTGCTGGTATTTACTTCATAAATATAAGGAAATGTTTGATTTATTATATTTTAACTATTGAATTTTACGAAGACGTTTAATTTTTGAAAAATTCGATCAAATTGAGGCTTTGAAGTACATAGTTATGCTGATAATTTAGCTGAATGAAGGGAGGAGAGATCGATGAATGGTCTTAAACTAGTAGGATTTAAAGAGCAAAGTTTGCACTCAGTGCAAGATTATGTTAATATCATAAAGGTTCTTTTATTATTAAATGATAAAACAAAGCACTTAAATGAAACAGTTGCACCAGTTGTTGTTGACTGGCCTGGGCAAATATTTATTCGAAAAGCATTGCACATGCGAATGGTCCTGGGTTTGCAGCATGAATTTTCGCAAAAGCTTGAGTCATTTATTTCAATAATGAATCCCCTCTACCTATCATTAAACAGTAGAGAGCAGGTTGTGTTAGTTCACCATTTTTTTTTTAAGAACCTGTTTCATTTTGTGTTTGGCGAAAAAAAAAAGTTTGCAAAAAAACCCTAGCCTTGGCAGATAAATCTTATACTGAAACTTTCGCGATGTGGTTGGCTTAAAATTAGAGATGATATCATGAAAAAATTTGGTTCAACCTGCAAAGATATTGAATATCAAACAACTATTGACTTGCTTGATAATTTAATTCCTACTACCCTTAATGTGTATGCTATCTTGTTTTGGTCAGGCCGGTTTGATGAATATGTAGAATCTGTTTTTCATATCTGGATGTTTTTTTTACGTTGAAAACCTCTTGTATTTCTATCAGACTTATTTTATTGGATAGATATGGGTCACCCTTTTTTGAAAGTATTACAAAAACATTTGCCAAGTTTCAATGAGTATTATGCAGAAAATACATATAGCAAAATTAGGACAAATACATCACCGAATGCAACCGTCGATAATATTATCAAACAAGCCTACGTTGTAATGAATCATGATCTTAATCTTAAGGATACATACTGTAAAGCTCGACACTACCTATATAATATTAAAACGCTTGATTTTTTATCTAATAAGACCAGTCTTTTTTTATTGCAATACTTTCAAAACATTTTTTATAATCGCGGAAAAAGTTTTCCAAAACTTAATACTACCAAGAACACCAGTATTGAAAACACCACCATTGAGACTACCAGGAGCACCACTACTATAGGCATCACCACTCAACACACCACCAAATATATCACCAAGGGCACCACCAAGAGCACCACCAAGAGTGGCACCAAGAGCGGCACCAAGAGCGACACCAAAAACACCACCAAAAGCACCACCAAAAGCACTACTGGGCGCATCACCAAGAACACTGCTACTACAAAAAAAAAAAAAACTACCCCAAATATACAAACTGGTGACTCTAGATGAAGAGGTGGACTTGCAACGTTTACCGACGGCATACAATATATCATATCCTCCACATCCCGAATTATGTGATCTTTGTAAACTTCCGTTTATCAATGATAATGGTGTAGTGTTTGTTTGCGATCACGACTATCATACGATTTGTTACAATGGGAGGTGTAGTTACTGTGAAGAGTTTTATAAAAGAGGAATTGTCAAAAAATATAAATTCATTTTTAAAACGAATTGAAAAGGGAGCGAATTCACTTACACAAGAAGATCTTGATGATAATGAAAATGAAGA